AGTTTACAGCGTGTCTCGCCACAAGTACACAAAATACCTACCTATTTCTTCTGGGCTAGAGTCGTAAGTTTATTTCCCAAATCGGGCAAAACATTCGTGTGATAAACAAGTCTGATTGCTCTTTGTCTCGGTGTTAATCTGGTTAATTAATATCTAAATATGTATTTATTTAATCGTATTTCAGTCTCTGATTTCCATAGCACTGGTTGTCCTAGTATGAGACGGGATGAATGTGTGTGACTTCTCTCCGATTGTAATTATAAGATTTGTGAATTATATAGTTAAAGGTATTTAATCCGATACAACACGTGGTGTGCTGAGATTATTAGAAACATCAAAATTCATTGAACGCTTCTATCGTATGTATGTATCGCAGCGCTAAAAAAGAATTATTACTAAAGTAACAACGCTTTAAGCAACGACCAAAGAAACGCTCAGTTAACGTTCAACACAAATGGATGAAAATGTGAGTAATTCATTTATCTTCCTTATTCGCTTGTTCTGCTACGGAGCTACATTTTCAGTACGATTATCAATAAATCACGCACTTTGCCTCCTTACCTGGATAAGGATAATTTCTTTAACCTCCAAGACCTCTTTTGTCCGAAAAGCCATTTGTATTTTTATAGACACCTCGAATATTTATTACCTAATTTATATCACTGTTATTTTGGATTGAAATGAATTAATTTTCGAATCTTACATTCGCTAATCAATGAGACACCCTGTATATATGTACGTATCGAGCGATGCCACACTTCTAAGGCTCAAATCTCGCGAGTACCAATTTTCTCCAGATATAACGTACCCAACGGGTGTTCATTAGCAAACTCCGCAATTTAATAGTAACATCGTTTGATAAAGTTAAAATCCCCAAAGTTTTAAGAAGGAATAAATTGCGTTTGTACAACATACTGTGTACATGTATTCACTAATAATAACCTACGACGATCACTAATAATAATAACCTGCTCGTCGAACAATATAAAAGGATAATTATGTAAAATTTAAAAGGTTGTGTACAAGAAAACGTATGTTGAAATCTATAAATCCATAATAACTATATAATTCTTTGAATATCCATGTGATAATTTAGCTCCACAATAAAACAGAAACTCCACATTGCCGTTACTTATTATGTAGCAAAATTAAGGACTCAAAAAAAAAACGATCGTACAAACAAGCAAAAGTAAACTTCTTCTGACAGATAAACGTAACAAAAAATCATGAACACAACACAGTCGAACTAAGTTATCTAGTTTACGAAAATGCCTTCTGGGAAGGAACAATTTTGCATGGAACTTTTCGACCCAGTCTCGTTGGGAACCCAAATTCCTTAGTGTAATGGAAAATGTCAAAAAAACTCGCAACTATCCCTAAACTTTCACTAAGCACTAAATGACCAAAAGATTTGACTTGAAATTCAGGTCACTTTTCGTTCACAAAAATGTCTTTTGTCTTTGAAAGAGATCGCATCGAATAAAAAAATGAAAGTTATTTTATTTCACTGTCTATCGTAAGGCATTTTTAAGTATTTTTTTATGTTCTCATTCCTTATTTACTAATTCCATGTAACTCATAGTCTACTGCAAAAGATATCTTGAACATCTTTATAGAACCAACTGTATGCATAACATTATTATTTGGTAAACTTTTATATGCGTATCAAATATGTATATGTTCATACTATCATTGCTATTTAGTGCCTGTGTAGAAACTAATAACAGGTTTTATAATAATATTATCTTCGATTTCGTGGGCCGTAGATATCTATATATTAATACGTGAAGCAAAAACTTTGTATCACTTTTTACGAAAATTGCGCGGACGGAGGAGTATGAAATTTTCCACACTTATAGAGCATATAGAGAAGAAGTGCACAATGCTAATTTTTTTTTTTAAATAATGCATAATAGATACAATAAAACAATAAAGATTACACACACTACCATGTATTTGACGCACAAACGCATGCATACTATTTATTTATTGTCATGTTTTCTTCTTCCATACTCTTCTATCATATACCATTTCTTCGCTCACTCGCCTCTTACCCATATCGTCTTTCACACAATCCATCCATTTCTTCTTAGGTCTACCTCTTCCTCTATATCCTTCCACATTCATAGTTAACACTCTCTTACCAACCTCATTTTCATTTCGTCTCATCACATGTCCATACCATCCCAAACGCGCACTCCTCAGCTTCTTTATCACAGGTGCCACTTTCAGGTGCCATTTTTCTATAGTGTAGTCTTGGCGAAATTTGTGATTATAGAAGTGTAAGTCTTTGAAAATAGAATCATATAAGTGTACAAACTGATAATTTCAATTAATTATAGTCGAATCTCGACTACCGGGCGACCACTAGTAATTAAAAATACTTTACTGTTCTCGTTTACCTTAGTCGTGACCGCTACTACGAAAACTGTAATGTATTCGAAACTTGGGAAATAATATGACAATAAAAAATGCGAGATGGAACCGTAAAATTAGTTTTGATAAGGTATTTAATTTTCGTTCCCCGAAACTAGATTAGGACCATAATTTACGAAACAAAAGTACTTTTTATGAATACGATAGGAAACAGTAGGTCAAGGTAAGTGCTATTTGAAGCATGAACTATGTGAAAATTTAATGACTCAATCAACGGATATATGACTTACTTTTTATGTATTTTCTCCATAGCGCAACGAAATTACTAACAAACAAAAACACTGAACAAAGAACACTTAAACAATCACGCAAAATCAAAAACAATAACCACACGTTTTGATACCGAAAAACCTCATTATTTTTAGTAGTGACTTAACAACCGCGGAACTATTATACATTGTGAATCAATTCAGTGACCAAGCCTGTTTCTTATCAGAGCGATACGCGATTACGGGGGAATTTACATCAGTGATAAGAGACGTTACTATTGTTAACAACAGTCTTAATGCCTTATTGATCTAACACAGATATTTTCATTTACGTGGATAGTTTTAGAAGCTAGCGGCCTACTTTAAGTTTAGTAATTATGGGTAAAAACTGGAGCCCATAGACTAATAACTTTATTTTTAATTTTTTTACTGGTGGTAGGACCTCTCCTGAGTCCGCTCCACCACCCTGCCTATTTTCAGCCGTGAAGCAGTAATGCGTTTCGGTTTGAAGGATGGGGCATCCGTTGTAACTATACTGAGACCTTAGAATCTTAGAACTTATATCTCAAGGCGGGTGGTGCATTTACGTTGTAAATGTCTATGGTAACCACTTGACACCAGGTGGGTTGTGAGCTCATCCACCCATCTAAGCTATAAAAAAATCTACTGAGATTTTAACTTCCTATAAAATCAAGTCAGAATTAACATAGTCTAGTGGCTGGCAAGAGCTGGATGAGAAAAGCCGAGGGTTGAGTGACGTGCAATTAGAGAGGCTTGTGTCTACCAGTGGATTGCTATAGGCTGATGATGATGATGACGATGATGATTTGAAGTAGTACCCTGATCACGTAATAAAAAAGGTACTCTTAAGATTTTACTAAGCAAAATTATCGTATCGATATGAGCCACTATGAAGAGTCGTACGCATTATGTGTAATGAACATGCAATGCCAATTTGAGTTTATCACAAGACCATTGGGGAACAAATTATTTGAAGTCCGAATACTTGAATGATCGATTGCTGATGCTATGTACTTTAATCACTTGAGAATTCGCACGAGAAAACACAATGACTTTATCAGTTTCCTCTAAAAACTGATAAAAAAGCTCATAAACATCACAATGTGAGTGCATCCGTCTTTGAGTCCAAGTCGAAGTCCTATATTCAAAGTCCATATAAAGTTTTTACGAACCGTAGATAGAATTAATTATAATTATCCGGTTGGTCACCCAAATTAAACTATGACCTTGCCTGACTCAAAATGTTCTTAATTAGTTTATAGACACAAAGAGATCGATTGAAAGGTGAATTTATCCCATAATATAATAATATTTTAACGAATAAGACAGAAAATCAGTTTTCTAGTTAATTAAATAAATGATATTTAGAAACTGAATAATACAATATTTAACAAAATATTAAACCGATTGCTGCAAAATAAAATGATAATATGATAAATGTAGTCGAAGTTAATTAATATATTTAGGACTAGCGACCCGTCCTCGCTTCGCTTCGGAAACTGTAATTTACTATTGATTTTTCCACTATTTAATGGATGTTATTATACATAATATAAACCTTCCTCTTTAATCACTCTATCTATTAAAAAAAACCGCATCAAAATCCGGTACGTAGTTTTAAAGATTTAAGCATACATAGGGACAGACAGATATAGGTACAGAGAAAGCGACTTTGTTTTATACTATGTAGTGATAACACAAAAAACTTCTCATCAGATCTTGATAAGTTTCTGAGTTAACATACAAAAAATATAGTCGAAATGAGAATGTCGTCCTTTCTTAAATCAGTCAAAAATCATTCTCAAATATTGCAACTAAATGTTAAGGCAGCATTCATTTGGGAACATGTACAAACTAATCGGTTCGCACGAAACGCGAACCCGTTACGCCATCGTTAGCTGAACCTCCATCAATCACACGATATCAATTCCATCCACAATACATGTAGGCATTAACCAATTATAACGATAGCCTTTAGGCATCGCTGTGAATTATTAAAAACCCTTTTAGAATCGGCCACCCGTGTCGCTAATAATAGAAAAGGATTTATACATAACCATACGCTTCAACTCAATCAAATCGTGCTAATTCGTGGTTAAAACTAACTAAATTATACGATTTTTATGGCCAATATAATAATTTTGAGTTAAGTTCTGTATTTAAATTTGGTCTAAAATGTTAATATGTTCCAAATTATCAAAGTATGATATTGAAAGAAGACTTGATTAAATTAATTTATAATTGTATATTTCACCACTAGATTAATGTCTGAAAAATCCATTAAGGACTAATGTTAGAATAATTTGATAAGGTACTTAAAAACATATCACTTACCAATCATGTGGTGGTTGGGGTCGCCTGCGAGCCTGCACGCAGCACGGTGGCTCTTGAGGCTCGCACGGTAACTGAAGAGCCGGGGGTGGTGGAGGCGGAGGTGTGCACGCTAGTCTTCGCGCTGCAGCCGCTCCAACGTATTCCACGTATCGTGATGGTGGTGGTGAACCGGCGATATCTTCGCGACACACGGGCCCACAACACTTTCTGGTCGTTGGTGGCGGAGGCCGACACGCCAGCCCGCAGTAGACCGGCGGCGGTGGGCGCAGCGGAGCCGGCGGCCTTGGTACGTATCTCTCGACGGGCACGTGCGCCGCTGGTGGGACGTAACGTGGTCTTCGCGCGCGCTCTGCTTCCGCACACCGGCGCACTCGCCGGGGTGAAGCCGAGAATCGGTCCGGCAGCGGCGCGGGCGGCGGCGGGCTCAGACGCTCCGGCGGCGCCACGCTGAACGCGCCCGCCGTCGGGAAGCGTTCGCACGGAGAGCGCGCGTACTCCTCGCCCATGGCGTGCGGTCAGCCTGGCCCGCCGCCGCCCGGCCGCGCTCCCAGCCGCGCTGACACTCTTTCTCACATACCGTTCGACCACTCTAGCACTGTCACTGGCCCGACGCTCCTCTCGCTCACGAGGGATACTGCGAGGTCCCGATATCCGCATTCACTTCGCGAACGCCATAACGCCACCGGATCGATACCGGCGCGCTGCAGCCTCACAGGGCGCCCGCTGTAAAACTTCGAACGTTACGCATCCTTTGTACCCTGTGTAATTTCAGGGGCTTTAGATCAAAATCTTGAGCTAGGGCGAGGCGAAAGTGCGTCCTCTGTCAAGATGGCCGGTGTAGACATGTCCGCGTGAAGGCGCGCCTGCGCTAATTCTCCCCGTTATGTGTTTATATTCAAGAGTTTTTTAATTTCAATATGTCCGCATGACACTTTAACTTTATAAACGTTTGCACTTTGAACAGTCACTATGCAGTTTGTAAATATTCGTTCGTGTTGTAGATATCAATACGAGTGTTGAAGGGTTGCGAGGGTGACGTGCGTCGCGGCGGCGCTCCGTCACGGGGCAGAAGTGGTGCTGAGTGCGCCGGCCCGCGCCTACGTCAGACCAGTGCGCCGATCGACGCCGACCCGCTGCGCCGTCTGCTCGCGCACCCCTCCTGTATCTGCCTTCACAACGTACAAACACAAGCATAATACTGCAAAACGAACCTCACATATAGCCCACTTTTACCTTCAGCATCCTGTTCACACAAAGCCATAATTTGGTTGAATTTTATTGAAATAACCTCAATATCCAATTTGGCAGTGAACTCGAAACTCGTAAAAATCATCGCTCGTTTTCAGGAGGCTTTATGTATTTCGCCAGTGACTTACACAATTTATATGTGAAGAGCATCATTATTAATAGACTGCTTAAATACTTTAGGGTTTATTGATTATAGGTTAATTAAAATAGAGGTAATAACTTAACGCCTACGACTGCTACAATTAAATAATTACAATCGAGTAGGATAAAACAACATGCTACAACAAGTTCTTATTTTCATAAATTTTTTTTCTTGATTGAGAAACCTTCAGATTTGTATGTAATAGTACGAAAAGACTTAAACTATCCAAACCATAAGTCAGTTGTTTCCTACAGCTTATACCTAATACAGCACTAGTACAGGATTCCCTTAAACTTGCAGTACCCTAGAGCGTCTTGCAGTGGACGAGCAGACGTCGTAAGAACTGGCATTCGCTAAATATCGGAGCTCAACTAAATTACTGTTTAAATTTAGAAAAACTTTGCAATTTCATTCCTCTTTGCAATATTGAAGAGTCCCTAGGTTTCTCTTATGTTAGGGCTACTGGAAATACATTACTAGACATAAAACTAGATTTCATAAATAAAGATGTTGTCTTCAACTTGGAATCGAAGCCAGATTCGTTGCACACGAATTATAGTGTAATCAATTGAATGAATCCCCTGACCAGAAGACTCCAGCGCTCAAACTCCGACCTAGTTGGCTGGTAACGGGTAATACCACCAAATCAACTAGCGTGGTAATACTTCAGGTACTGCAAAATCACAGTGTCAGAGCTTCAATGCCGCCAACCGTCTTGAGACACGAAATCCAAGTCTCAATTGTGTTATATAACTGTCCCATCATACAAATCGCTAGAGATTCTTCGTTACAGGAATAGGCAGTAATGAGCAGAATTATTTTTGGAACGAAGTTCCTTATGGGACGATGCGGAGGGGTACCCTAACCGGAAAAAAAAGCCCGTAACGTAAGATTTTTATTAGTAATGCACACAGTGTACGACTTAACTTTGTAATAACGTACAAATTAGTAATGAACACAGCGTACGACTTCACTTTGTGATAACGTACAAAAAATAACATATTTTTTTATCATTCATTGACCACGATCTCAGAGCGTTCGAATGACCGTGGGTTGTTGCGAAACCTCCAGTTTTATTTTCTTTATACCTCGAATATAACTTAAAATTAATATTTTTATAATAAGGAACTTCGTTCCTATCCGGTGTCTCACGACACCACACATTTTTTATTTATTTATCAAACTTGATGGGCGCAGAGTTCTTGACGCAATTAGTGTTAAATGTTTACCGGAACTAATCGAGTCTAGTCGAGTCTCGCTTTCAATTTCTCTCGGCTGTCTTTTCAAATACTTCAATGCAAAAATAGGCAGAGTTCTGATACCTCTGTGGTCCTCAAAATACATCACAACAGTAACCACGCCAATTAATTAATTTTAAAGAAATTTTATTGTTTCGTCGTGATCTCTGTGAACACTAGGAATCTATGACTTAAATAAAAAAATTTGGAACCGCTATTTGTATCCTAGCGAAATGTCATCGCTCGATATCTTGTACTGGCCACGACGACTAAGCGATGTCCATTGTTCTTATTTCAGTACAAAGAAACCTAAACATATTATTATTAAAAGCACTCATTGACGCGATGCTCGAATTCATTTAGTAAAAAAAAAACTTAGTCGTTCTTGAAAACAAAAACGATCTCGTATAAGCAATAAAATAGATCTTAAAAAGCTTAAAATCGTGTCTAAGACTGAAAAACCTCGAATATTATTATTTAATTTTCTTACAATCTGTTTTTTAATATTATCGAAGGGTTAAAACGGTTGTCGTCGTCCCCTGAACGCTGTATCTCCATCGAAATAGGTTAAGGACCTATTCCGTACCATTACACAGTTTTTGGGATAAACTGTTCGTGCACCCTCTGTTTATCCATGAATATTGACCCAATTTTACTTAAGTAGAACGTTTCTATTATAAAACTAGGCTCATCGAATTTTCATGACAGCATAGTGCTAAAACCACAGTCTTTAAATAACTTTCACGTATTTAAATAGTTTATGCTACGATATGCTATGTTATTTTATAGACGGCGTTTGAGAGTTTCGCTGCTAAATTATTATGGATTTTTTGGTAGGAGTGATTTGTTTTTCTTGCACCGGATCTAAGTCAAAACAGAAAAAAACTATAGGCCTAATGTGAACGGAAAGCATTATCGATTCACTTGGCTAATCATAATACTCGTATTTTTAGTAAATTACCATATTACATAGAGCCACTGCGTTCATTCATAGTCCATACGTCCATTTCCAGGGATAATTTGCACTAATTTTTTTAATGCTTGCATGGGTGGACGAGCTCACAGCTCATCTGGTGTTAAGTGGTTACTGGAGCCCATAGACATCTACAACGTAAATGCGCCACCCACCTTGAGATATAAGTTCTAAGGTCTCAGTATAGTTACAACGGCTGCCCCACCCTTCAAACCGAAACGCATTACTGCTTCACGGCAGAAATAGGCAGGGTGGTGGTACCTAACCGTCCGAAATGACAAGAGGTCCTACCACCAGTAAAAAATAGCACTATCTGCCATTGTAATAAACTTCCCTCCATGGTGTATCTTGAGCGCTATGACATGCCATTCTTCAAACGAGGATTGTAGTGAGCGTTCAGCCGACGGCAGAGGCGTGGCTGTGCCCCTGACATACGTAAGGTCCATGAGCAACGCTAACCACTTAGTATCAGGTGTCCGTATGATCGTCTGTCTTCAAGAGCATAAAAATCGTGATTCCCTAATACCATAGCAGCAGCTAGATGCCGCCCACTAACTTCCTTCGAGACCGTAGCTTAGAACAGTTTATGTTTTTATGTTTTAAATTAGATAGTAAAGAACATAATATAAAAAAATTGTCTTCACTTATTAGGCGCTGCCGAGTTCGATAGGTCTGTCGAGCCTACAGAAGTTTACGGGTCAAACAAAAACAAAGATATTACCTTGCCTGCTATAATATATAAACTAAATGTTATACAAATTTCCAGAAAAGAAAAATCCTCGAAAACGTCTTTTATTATTTTCAAAACTGTACAGTAATTTTCCTAAGCCTCTCTAGAAAGAAGAAACATTGTAACACTCCCACAGTAGGGAAAGTACATTCCAGAGCTATTTATAAGCTTAGCATTGAGTAAGAGAGCTTATAGGATTTTATTATTATTAACTATTATTTATTATTATTATTATATAATATTTTATTAACACCTTATGCAAGTGTCTTTTAACACACTCTGCATAACGTAAGTAAGTGCATTGTTTAGTTTTGAACTAGACACTATCGCCTATAGAAACATAATAATTAGATTTACACAAACCCAGCTACTAAATAAAAATCCAAAACTGTTTTCTATCATAATAGTATTACAGTTTTAGTTTCAGCAACCCGAAATAAAAATTAAAGTATNTTTATTACAACTTATGCAAGTGTCTTTTAACACACTCTGCATAACGTAAGTAAGTGCATTGTTTAGTTTTGAACTAGACACTATCGCCTATAGAAACATAATAATTAGATTTACACAAACCCAGCTACTAAATAAAAATCCAAAACTGTTTTCTATCATAATAGTATTACAGTTTTAGTTTCAGCAACCCGAAATAAAAATTAAAGTATACGTTTTTTTTCTGATCAAGATATTAGGCTAAAGTAATTAAATTAATGTATTGTCATCGATCCTCGATATGTGTGCAAGTTTCTAAGTTTGGAACCAATCTTTGGAAACATCCCTATGACTCTAAAAATATACTATTTTGTAAGACAAAAACGCGAGGCTTCTCCCAAAATAAACATAAATTCTTTTATGTTTACTTAAATCGCTCCGTTTTTGAGCCCTATGTAAAATAAGAAATATTTAAGTTACACAATGATATCGTGAGGGTTGGTTTATTTTATTGAGATTTAATAGCAAAATTAATCAAAATTTAGCAAACTATATCCTAATATTTGAGAACCTTTCCATTATTATTTAATTTATTTATTATACCGATGCTTTCAGCAATAAATGCTTAGACGATTTTATTTGAAACCAAAAGCCTCCTGCGATTCTGCCCTCTTTAAATTTGAACTAAATAATAAAAATGTACTTTCTTATTATACTTCTCTACTTTATATGGCCAATTTTTGGTGTATTAATTTAATAATATGTTAGCCTGGTGGTAGGACCTCTTGTGAGTCCGCGCGAGTAGGTACCACCGCCTTGCCTATTTCTGCCGTGAAGCAGTAATGCGTTTCGGTTTGAAGGGTGGGGCAGCCGTTGTAACTATACTGAGACAGCAATAAAAAAAAGCCTTTTAATACCGTCTTTTCCCTTTTCTCGCTTGAACTTTAAAATATTTATTTCTTAAATTAATTCTGACAAAGCATTCAAATATGAACAATGGAAAATTACCAAAGGGAACATATACTTTATTATATAAAGTAAAATCTCGTTAGGCAATAACCTAACAAACACCTCACTTGCTATGCAAACGTGTTATGTATTATTCAGAACTTGTTCGAGATAACACGCGTCTCCGCATCGAAGTCTGACTGAGATGAGAAATGTGCCGCATGAAGGTGCGGCAATCTCAAGATAACCACTCGGATATTACAACCTCTTCAATCCATGTATATAGACAACAAATTGACATACTTTCTATTATTTGTTGGTGGTAGCTTTTTCTTTTTTCCTACCTAT